CCTTATGCGTGTGAACCACAGTATTCTGAGAGTGGAAGCCCAATTGAGTTAAAGTACCGTACTTAATTCCCCGATCGTAAGCCCCTCCCGAGTATGAAGCCCATCCCTATATTTTTACTAGGTATTTATCGAGTTGATAGCATTCACAATTATAAGCCCAGAGTGTTTTCACTGGACGTCGACGATATTCTTTAAAATATGCGTGTAAAAAGTGTGTTTCATTTCATAATAATCGTGATTAGCATGGTAGTTTGGTTCGTGCTTTTAGTTTTTATGAGAAAACTCGCATTAATTTCAGAGTGCATGGCGAACGTACACAACGTGGTTTGCATCCTTTCTATTCTGTCATTTACTCAGGATGAACCCTGATGTTGCAATACTGGAGTAATCCATATTTCTTTGAGTAGTAGCCTTCGAAAAGCCAAAAATCGTTAAGTCGTGTACCTGGTTATTGGGCATGGTTTACTTTGAGACACGAAAGGCCTAGGGTTTGAACAATGTGAAATGTTGGCGACCGTGAAAGGTGTTTAAATTCTTCCTCCACACTCAGTTTACCCACGGTTACTATTAACCGTCGTTTATATTTCGAAAATTGCGAATCGCCAGTTTTTAGGGAAAAAATCATTGTTTTTTGTTGCAATCAGTGCTACAGATCGCATTTTAACATTGCGGTAATTCACTTCCGCATTGCGATAAAAAATCATCGTCAATAATCGGAAAAGTTTATCATTACGACACATCATTTTGATTGGTTCATGAAAGACATGACCTGTTAGGTCAAAGGAAGTTGTTCCAGGTCAAATTATGCTGAAAAACCTGATGGTGGGAAATTGCTTTGCGTCGAGAGTTTGCGTACGATCGAAAACATATCAAAACGAAGATACTGATAAATGCCTTCGTCCACTGTTTCCTCACAGACCCTACCCATTATTTCACCGTAAATTCAGACGGTATGTAAATCGTATTGTAATAAAATGTGTTTGTTTTTTTATGAACATGTTTGTTTCTTTATTGTAAGTGTCGTGGAAATCAATGACGCATTTTTTTTTTCTAAAGTAAGTATTATTTTCCCGAGCCCGGCGTGGTGAACGAATAATTTTTTTGGATAATTTTTCGTTGTTAGCAAGATGGTTACAGTGTTTAACCCCAGAACAAAATCCTCTTTTCTGAGTGGGTCCTCGAGTATAAGCTCATCCCTTACTTTTCCCTTACGTGTTCATGTCTCCGGGCTTATGATCAGGGAAGTACGGTATACTGTGAAGATTCAGATCAGTCCAGTGTGAGTGATGAGAGTATATCGTCGACGATGCCCCTTGTTCGAATCAGAATCAGCTACCAGAGATTTGGACATCAAAGGAAGAAGGAATGTTAATAATGACAAACAAATAAAGCCAAGTAACAGTGGTAAAAAAGATGAATCTGCTAAACAGTCCAATAAAATAGTACTGATTGGCGACTCATTATTAAAACATATTAATGAAGAACAATTATCTAGAAATCGAGTAGAGAAAGTACGCTCATCAACCTTAGCTGATGCAACTAACCACATCAATGCAATGTCATTAAAAGATGTTGATAAAATAATACTCCATGTTGGTAGCAATGACATTGCTAACAATAGAAAAAGTGAGGATGTTGCTGAAGATATTATGAACTTGGCTCAACAAACTAAGTCTAACATGAAACCAGCCAATAAAATCATCATATCAGGTATACTACCTAGAGGTAATACTGACATGAATAAGAAGATAAAAGAAGTTAACCTCAAAGTTAAGTCATATGTAGACAACCAAGATGGTATAGTGTTTGTTGACCACAAGAAACTATATGGTGCTAAGAAATATTACCATGTGGACAATGTGCACCTCAATGATATTGGCACTGAAGTACTTGCATCTAATATAATAAATGCAATGAGAAATAAACCAAGAGCAGAAAACAGACTCTCAAGTGATAGACAACAAAGATATAATACAAAGAGACAAATAACTCAAAACTGTAGCACCGGTAGTACTAGCCACCATAACAACAACAAAAGACAAACAACCAGAAATACACTCGACAACAGCCATAAGGACAATAAAGAAATGGAAATTACCCGAACAGAAATGACTGGGCACGAACAGCGTGCGATGTAAACAGTGCATGTAAACAGAACGAAGCGAATTGGCTACAAGAATCATGCGCAGTGGAGGAATTAAACAAACAAACGAAGCTATGCAAATGAAAAGTATGCAAATGAATAATTAACAATTTTGAACTGCCTACAAAATACAACAATTATTCACTGGCAAAGAACGAACCCGACTCAAGCGAATTGGCGGCAAAAGAAAATAAAA